ATATTTCTCGAAAAATAATAATGCAATCGAGCCAAAAAATACACCATTAGTGAGAGGTCATGTGTAGCTACAAACTGCGGAATTTTGAGCGATTTGATTTTTTTGAAGATTTCCGAGGTCTAGGCGATTTTTACAGACTCTTGCTCTTAATAGAAATACTGTTAGATAAGGATAACATATCATTTAAGGGAACAATACTGGATTAATATAAGAGCCAAAGTTATCATCGATACCAGAAACAACTCAAGGGCATAGAAACAAACGGTCTAAAACACTAAACACTGAAATCAAACCAAGATATAGCTATTTCAAAAAACGTTGTCGTGTAGAACGGCGATTGTCGAAGAGAGATTGCACGATCGAAATGGACTATGGTTACACTGTTAGTTGCACTTATTGCATTAACCTTAAATAGAAATGGAGTGTAATTGAGCCAATGTTAACCACAAGCTATCTTACAGTATAAATCAGTTATTTCTATCAACTAGCAAAACCCCTAGCTACTTTCTGTCGTGCAATKGCCGTTCGACCATTGCCATTCACAATTTTAACCTTTTTTGTAATAGCTATATACAAATAACGGAAATTGTTTATTAATTATCAGGTTTATAGGAGACTTTATTATGCGTAATATCCATGCATATCGCAAACACATACGGAAAATGTACGTTTGATTATCCTTATGAGTTTCTGGTGATACACATTATCAGTATAGTGTAAATAAGAAGTGCTTAAATTGAAAGGAAATTGTAGGGATCAGGATTCCCGATAGCAAGGAATCCACGTAGTTTACACACTTTTAAATTTCCTTATGAGTTTCTGGTGTTACGCATTACCAGTTTATTGTAAATACGTAAGACATCTTAAGCTACACGGAAAATATATGGATACGTAGTAATACGAATATATTGCACAGTACGGAACGCAAAAAAAAAGAAAGAAAAAAAAAAAAGAAAATTAGGCTACACGCTTAATATCATACCTACATAAAATTCTCGATTCTTATTGGCTGATGAATCGAGAATCTTTTCACTCTTGCAATTAATTATTATCACACGTTCAATTAATTAATTGCACGAATCTATCCCAAAAGTTTTTGCGAATGATCTACGCGCGATATTTTTCGGTATCAGACTGCCCCATGAAGCGATGGAAACGAATATTTTAGGTATGATATTAAAAGGCCGAAATACGCGCGGTATTTTTCATTTATCCTTCTTAAGGTGGTATTTCATATACTAATTCCCTTGTGAGTTTCTGATGATACGTATTATCACAGTACTGTAAATAAGCGTATATTATACGGATACGTAGTATAGCATGAATATTTCAGGACACTGGAAGCAAGAACTCTTACGGCAGATACACGCGTTTTGAATTTTTTCTAATTTTTACTATTACATAAGTTAATATTTTAGAACCTTTTGTAATATTTGATATATCTTAATACTGTACAGTTGGTGCCATTAAAAATATACTCTCACAATATTAAGACTATTTATTTATTTATTGTTTTTGCAAATCGAAACGATATTGATGGTTTTCAACCATTCCTAGGAGAGAAAGTTGAACAAAAGATGTCCGCCATTGCTGGTGGACCTGACAAAAGAAAACCACCACCGTGACTGGTGGACCTTTTTGTTTTGCTAACTCTCATGGGAATGGTTGAAAACCATCAATAGGTTTTGTAAGGGTTAACCCAGGATTAGCGCTTTAACGTCCCGGCCCTGGGGTTGAAGAGCAAGAAGGGAAAGAAGAGGAAAAGACTCTAATAATTTTGAAAACTCAACATGAATAAATTCAACGTAAAGGAAAATACGGAAACA